GAGTATTGTTGGATGGGTGGGTTACATGGACATTCTGTTTCATGTGGCCACATTTTTTACAGCATTGGCAAGATGGCCTCGTTTATATGATAAGTGCATGTTTGCAGTGTTGGTGTTTAATTTTTAAGGAAAAGTTGACCAGTGCTGAAGGCTAAATAACAGCACCATACTGCTTAAATTGTTATTCGCCCAGCTGTAGTGGCCACATACAGTATGACTGAATATCTGCATTTTACTTAAAGAGAGAGCTCACCCAGTTCACCCAAAAATTATTTATTATCATGTTGTTCCAAACTTGTATGCATTTCTTCCTTCTGTGGAACACAAAGAAGATATTTTGAAAAACGAGTTCTAGTACCGAACTTTCTTCAAAATATATTCCTATGTGTCCCACAGAAGAAAGAATAAAGGGTTTTGGCCAACCTGAGGGTGATTAAATGATCAGATGATCAGAATTTAAATTTTCTGCTGCCTCTTTTTTAAGTATACTCTTCTCAGAAAGACTTATGTTACACAATTGTAAAAAGTTATAAGTGACAGAAACTTCCGTCCTTATCCTGCAGTGCTTTGTCTGGGGAAAATGCTGAAGATGTGAAAATGCACCACGGACAGAGATGACATCTATATTCTTCAGCTGTGTGTGTGTGCTCGCATGTGTCTAGAAGATCGATCACCAACGTGTGGGAAAGTTTCCCCGGATGCATCACAGGTACAAAGTCATTGTTTTGTATCAAGCACCTCAGGGCACGTGCATGTGTAAAGGCACATTACATACGTTTTGTACTTTATGTGTTAGATTGTTTGCATAATTGTGTGAAAATATGGTTTCATATATAAACGAATCAGCACAAATCATTCCGCTGGGTTGAATCGTAGAAATATTATTAGACAAGATGCTATAGCTGTCTTAGTTTCAAAGTCAGATAGTACCTGATTCATAGCAGCACAGAAGGTCTAACATATACATTTTCAACATAATTTTTGACAGTTCACCCAAAAATGAAAACTCTCATTTACTCACTCTCATGTCATTCCAAACCTGTATGGCTTTCTTTCTTGGAAAGTCAATGGTCTCCAAAACATTCTTCAAAATATCTTATTTTATGTTCCACAGAAGAACAAGTCATGCAAGTTGCAAAGACATGAGGGTGAATAAATAATGACAGAATTTTCATTTTTGGGTAAAAATTTATATTTTAGAACTTCTGCACTACTATGAATCAGGTAATATCTATCTTATAAAGGGTCACTATCCCTTTAAAATAAATTGAAATTGAGAATATAGTGATTATAATAAATCAAATAAAGATTCAAATGTACTAATACAATAATTTAAAATTACATATATACCCACATATATACTAGTCTTACACTTTTGAGCCATCATTCATTCCAAAAATCAACATCAAATCAAACAACAAACTATTTCTAATTTTCATCTCACTCCTAAGTTCTTAAAGCTAAATACAGCTAAAGCTTAAATAGTCACATTTCACAGCACATATGTGGCTTGCCAGAGAGAACAAATAACAGCATCTAGCTTTCTAAACTTCTGTAACAGCTCCATTCATATCCAATAAATTCATTTACATCCAAACTTGATCCGAACTCTTACTTATATCCTTCTCAAAAAACAGAATCCAAAAGACCGAGATTACATGCTTAAGCACATCTATAAAACCAAACACGGTCAAACGCTCAATGAAATACCCACCAGGGAAAACCTCTGGGGCAGGACAGTCCTTCTGTGAGAGCTGTGATCCAGGATGAGTGGGGCTCCTCTTTTTTGCCTCTGTCCCTCTCTAGTCTTGCTCCTCTTCTCAGCCTACGTTACAATCAGATTTCTGCACACCCTTGTGTTCTGTTTAAGCTCTCTCTCTTTCAGTAATCTTATGCCTCCTGAGTAACTTGAGACCCATGGCTGCCATCAGAGAGACGCACATGCTCACACACACACCTTACCTTTCGCATCTGGCTTGGCTTTTTAAACCTTAAACCGGGTTCTCCTTTCTGTGTGCGTCTCTCTCGCTTTCTGTCAGTCTCTCTGTTTTGGGGTGTCAGAGCAGGACCCCACGGCACGGGAGCCGGCAAGAGCTCTGCGGGGCAAACAGCGCTGAGTAAAGGACGGCAGGACCTGAGCTCATGCCGAGTAAGCAAGCAGAGCAACATCTCCAGAGCACGCACACACATACACGTACTCACAGTTACTCTCACTCACACTCGCAAGTTGCATAGACATATGCAGTTACATAGACACTAAATCTATGTTTGGAGTAGCATGCTATTATAGAGTATGTATAGTATGCTATTGGTCATAGAATACTTGGAAGACAAGCTCAAAATGTTGAAATTTTCAACTTTATACATAGAAAAGTGCAATGGAATGGCACTCTGTGTCGAACTTCATGCTGGCATTGAGAGAGATGAACTAGTTATTGACTTTAAAGCAAATAAATTGTGTTAGTGAGTTAAAAAGTGCCTACATTAGATGATATTTGTT